CCTGTACCAGGCTCAGTGTGCTCTGTCCATCAGTACCAGACTCAGCGTGCTCTGTCCCCCCCACATCACGCTCTGTGTTTGCTGTCCCCCCATGCCTGGCTCTGTTCCCTGTCCTCTGTCCCTCTCTCCCCACTTGCAGTTGCTGACCCCGTCTCACTCTCTTCTCATGCTGGGAACGCCAGGATTTCTATGCATCGGTGCTGGACATCCTGACGCCAGATGATGTTCGGGTCCTCGTGGAAATGGAGGATGAGTTCTCACGCCGCGGCCAGTTCGAGCGGGTCTTCCCCTCTCGGGTCTCTGCCCGCTATCTCCGTTTCTTTGAGCAGCCGCGTTATTTTAATATCCTGACCACACAGTGGGAACAGAAGTATCACAGCAACAAGCTCAAAGGTGTGTGTGCCGCCTTCTTTTGTGGGGGGCAGGCCAGAGGGTTTGCACACCGGCCCACATCCTCTTCTTCCCTCTACAGGGGTGGACCTGCTCCGGAGTTGGTGCTACAAAGGCTTTCACACTGGAGCCGTCTGTGACTCTGCCCCCATGGTGAGTGAGGCCGTGCTCTTCTAGAGTGTGGGGTCGATCCAGGGGTGCTGGCATTGGCCATACCGCATTACCCCCAGAATCTGTCCCACAGCTGATGGCTCTCCTCTCTGAAGGGACAAATAGCCTCCATTCCTAGCGCTCAGGCTTGGCCTTTGTCTCACTGCGTAGGAAGGGAACATCCTTGCTCCTGTGCCCCCCCAGGCAGTGGGGGACTGGTGTGTCTGGAATGTCCCTGCCTGCTCCAGGTTTGGGTGCCTCACTGTGTTCTTTTGTTTCTAGTGGTCCCTGCCGAGATCACATATCGTCATGAAGGGTGACATCCTCCTCAATGCCTTCTGTAAAACGGACCTGAACAAGCTGGGGTAAAGGTTGCTGAAGGGCAGAATCTGGGCAGAACTTGGGAAAGAGGGGGTCAGAAATCTGGGAATGGTGATGGACGTAAACTAGTGACCAGGCTTGGCAGGATGGGGGTCAGGGAGGAACTCAGAGAGTAGAGAAAGCTCTTCTTAGTGATAAAAACTTTCCCTCTCTGGCCCCTCCTGGGACAAAACCAAGCAATCTCCAGTGGCTGATGGTGGCAGATGCTGCCACACTCTCTTTCCTGTGATTCATCAGCCTTTCCAGCACATGCTGCAACGGTGATGGCACCTTCTTGTTGGACAGGCTGGCAGCTGTCGGGCAGGGGCCTTTACTGTCCTGGTGCTTGTGGACCTGACTGTCCTTTCAGGTTTTTTGGGAGCAATAAAAAGTTCCTTTCCAGAAAAAAAAGATTGGGAACTGACTCAGGACCTAGAAGACTTTAGAAGACTCTGCTAAAATTATCAGTTACTCAGAGTCGCAGCCATTTGGGTCCTTGAGGGGAACGGAACTGTCTTATGAAGGGAGAAGCCACCATCTTCAGGAAGCCTCATACTTTCTTCTCCCTTTTCTCTTTCTCCCAGGAAACCTACCCATTCTGCAAAGGACAATGAGGATACCACCCAAGACTCTAGCCCCTGCCCTCCAGTGTTACCTATGCTCAAGTATTCAGGGCAAGCTCAGAGACTTCCTGTTTCCCCAACACCCCCTAAAGCCAACAACAACCTTGTTGCCTCTGTGAACCCCTGATCAGCTTCCTTCCATTAACGCTGCTCCCTCCCCAGGAGCAGCAGCGATAGCTACCTCATGGGAACCGGCCTGCTGGCCAGCCTGGAACCCCAACCCTGTCCACCCTGCCCCTGGTCAGAGTATTTTTGGAAAAGGGTGAATTCCAGAGAGGGGGTTTCTATGGGGCTTGGAGGGATGGTGGGGTTGGGGAAAGGGCAAGGAGGGAGCTACGTCCCACTCTCCTGCCTGCTTGCCCAGCCCCTGTCATCCCAGTTGAGAAGCAAACAGTGGCCATTGCAGCCTTATAAAGCAGGGTTTGATTTCTACCCTCAGAGCCATGTGTGATTTGTTTTCTGATCTAACAACTGACCTCTTTTCCCTCATTCATGCTTTGGTCCAGAAACCTCCTTGTTTCTTCTCCGTCCTGCCCTCAGACAGAGATTTGAGGATTCACATCAGCTTTTAGCTGATAGAGCTTGTCAAGGCACGAGGATGGGGGAACAGCAGCAAGAACACAGCTTGCTTGGTTTTTGCCATCTGTCCTCTCAGACTCATTTTTCTCCCTTTCTTTGTATCTTGTGGGATCCCAACACATATGTGTATAATGTGGCCCTCTTCGTGCCTTCCTTTGAGAGAACCACTGTTCCTCTTTGTCAAAGCAATAGCTGGCTTATGAGCATCAGATGGGACATTTCTTCTGCCTTTAGTGATGTAGGCTCTCCAATCAATCCCAGCTCTTTCTTCCTAAGATGTGAGGCTGACGCTGTAGTCCTTTCCCCCTTCTATTTCTTTTCTGAAGAATATACCCATATAGTCCCTGTCTCTCCTGCTTTGTGGGAAGGTCTCTTGGTACCTACCGCCATGGAGGCAATCAGGTTTCTCACCCCATGCTCTGTCCTTCTTAATTCTCTCCTCCAGGGCCAAAGTGGAAAACACAGTAGGTTCCACAATGGGACGGTTGGCTCAGCCATCTCCTGCCAGAAACCTCTCAGGTGTCCACTCTGCAGCACTGGCCTGGGAGGGATGACCCACATCAGGTGAACATAGTGTCTGAATCTTCACGCACATGACCATTGCAGCTCTCGCCTTCTTGGACTCTTCCATCCAATCCACACCTGGACTCCCATTCTACCCTTCCTCTGCCCATTGTCCTATTCCCATAATCTGATCTTAAAGCTGTTTCTCCTCAGAATTGATGCCATCACCCATCACCTTCCGACTCATCTGCCACTGAATCTGTGGAAGTCAAGAGATTTCCATGGGGTTAAATAACTGGATGAGGGGCCCTCAGATGGGAACTATTATCCAGTTTTGACCATAGATCTTACGTTCAAGATCTAGTATTGGAGTCCAATAGTATTGGAGGGCTTCCACTCCCTCATTAGAGCCACAGGATTTCCGGGTTAGAAGGGAGTTTGGCAGCCGTGTAGTCTGACCTGTACCTGAAAAAGAGAACCCCACTTGCCTTTACTTTATGAACTCAGTTGAGGGGAAACCCAGTACTTCCAGATAAACCACTCCTCTTTTGGATAACTCTCTTTGTTAGGAGTGATTTTCTTACATCAAGTATAAATCTGCCTCTGAAACTTCTACCCATATCTCCTAGTTTTTGCCCTCTGCAACCAAAAAGAACAATTCTAAACCTTCTTCCATATATATGACAGACTTTGATGTCCTTGATGATGGCTGTCGTGTCCCCTCTGAGCCTTTTTTTAAAAAGTATTTTATTGAATCTTTTTTAAAAAAAATTGGTGTCTTTTCCTAATACTATGTCCCACCAATAGAACCCAGTCTTGTAACATGGAAGTACAGAACAAACCCACCCCCTTGACCAGGTTGGACAATGTATACCCAATCTACAGCCGTCTGCCACTTCTAGACCAAGAGGAAAGAGGTAGGACTCGTCATCAATCCTCTGGAGCCAAGATCATTGATCAGTAGTGTTTAAATTACTGTGGCTGTTGTGTATATTTTTTTTCTGGGTTCTGTGTAATGATTATTAACGACTGACATATAGTTGCAGATTGCATGCTTTGTCTCTTTTGAACCTCAAAACAACTTTGTGAGGTAAGTACTGCTAGAGTTATTCCCATTTTACAGATGAGAAAACTGAGGCTCAGAAAATAAATGATTTGCCCATGGTCGTAAGCAGTAAACATCAGAGGTGGAATTTAAATCCAGGCTTTCCTAACTATAAACACCACATTGCTTACTTTGCTCTGTTTAATTCTTCCAAATCATTCTACTTTTTGGAAGTGTTTCTGAATTTTTCATATCTATTGCTGCTTACTGTGAAAGAATATTCCATTATGTTGCCATAACAGTTTGTTCATTCTATCAGTGGGCACTCCCCTTGTTTTCAGTTTCTTGCTAACAGAGACCTGTTACGAATATTTTGTTACACGAGGAACATTTCTGTCATGGATGCCCTTGGGATATGTGCCCGAGGGTGGGATCTAAGTGTAAACATTCTCAGTTCCTTCAGCCATTCCTTTAAAGGGGTGGTCTAATGCTTCCCACCTCCTCATTGGACTCATTCTGGATGAATCCAGATTTTTGGTGCTTTTACTAAATGTGGCATTCAGAGCTAAACAGTCCTCTAGCAGTGGCCTAAGACAGAATATAGTGGAATTATCTCCTTCCTCACGTTGTACACTATGTCTCTCCTAATTCAACATTAGCAGCCAGGTATGGTGGATGATAGAGTGCTGGGCCTGGAGTCAGGAAGACCTGAGTTCAAATTCAGTGTTAGCTGTGTGACTGGGCAAGTCACTTAAACCTGTTTGCCTCAGTTCCCTCATCTGTAAAATGAGCTAGAGAAGGAAATGGCAAACCACTCCAGTTATCTTTACCAAGAAAACCTCAAATGGGGTCATGAAGAGTTGGACGCAACTGAAATGACTCAACAATAATTCAACATTGCTTTTCTGCCTACCATAATAGTCTATTAACTTACATTGAGCTTTTGATATCTTATAAGTCCTTACTCTGTCATGCAATGTTTTTGTTGTCCTTCCTAGTTTTGTGCTATCCAAAAATTTAATAACCATACCATTCATATCTTTGTTCAAGGAGCATAGTGGAAATTGAGGCTCAGAAAGTGAATGATTTGCCCAGGGTCACACAGCTAGAAAAAAGTCTGTGGGGGAGATGTCCTATTGCCTGTAGTTTAAAATGCTCCTTAACCTGGGTATCTAAGACTTGCCTCAATCTACCTCCAGCCTACCTTTCTGGCTGGATGTATTTCACACTATTCCCTTTCACATAAATGCCAATGTTGCAGCTAAGCTGTATCATGAGTTGTCCCCTGGTCTTGACTTGCCATCTTCCACTCCACCCTACGTTTGTGGAGACAATACATCCCCTTTGCTGAGAATGTACTCCTTTACTGGTGCTAGTTCTGGTCTTCTCTCAGAATTCAGCTCAGGTGCCATCTCTTCAATGAAATTACTCCTGATACTCCCACTTCCTTGGCATCTTCTTCCTCTTGATAATTTCCTAGGGCACTTTAGCTTCTTGTGTATAAGAAGCTATTATATGCAATTTTGTATTATACTTACTTGAATATATGTCATTCCCCTCGCCCCCTTTCCCCCCCCCAAAAAAGCTATAGATTCCTTGAGGGCATCGACTTACACATAGTAAGCATTTCACATATATGTTAAATCATCCAGTAAATGTCAAAAAAAGAGTCAAGTGGGAGCGCATGGCGACTCCCTGTTAAGGGATACTGAGAAAGCTATAAGAGCTTGGGGGAGGGGTGGTTTCTAGGCTTAGATGGAGAACCTCCCTAACATTGTCAGAACTGACAACTGCTCCTTCAATTTGAGTCATTCTTGTGGGGCTCAAAACACATTGTAAAAGATGAAAAATGGGTTGTTTGTTGGTGGTGTTCATCACTATTGCTGATGGAAGTGCAGGGCAGATTAGGAGGAGCATTTGATAATGTATGTAAAGAGTTTTTACAAACTTTCAAGGGCTATGAAGTGCCATTATGTTGTCCTCTTGCTTCTGCTGTCTTTGCTCAAACAGATCTTTCCAAGTTCTCTGAATTCCTCACATCCCTTACTAAGCAATAATATTCCATTACATCTCTATCTCATCATTTGTTCAGCCACTTTGTTTCCAGTATTTTAATATCACCAAAGGGTTGCTATGAATATTTTTATATATATGGGGTCTTTTCTTACATTTTTGACCTCCTTTGGGATGCCCAGTAGTGGAAATGTTGGGTCAAAAGATCTGAACAATTGAGTAATTTTTTTCTCATGATTCCAAACTTTTCCAGAAGGCTTGAACCAATTGACAGCTTCTCCAAAAGTGCATTAATGTACTTGCCATCCTTAGCCCCTCTGACATTGACTGACTCTTCTGTCTTTGCCAGATTTTCTTTTTTAAAAACGGTTATTGATATTTTTGTGTGTGTGTGTGTGTGTTTTTTTTTACATCATCTCCATTTCCTAGTGATCCCTCACTCTTCTAGAGAGCTAGCCTCTATAACAGAATAAGAGAGGAAAAAGCAGTTTAGCAAAACCAAAATGTTGAAAAAATTTGACATTCTGTACAGCGTTGCACATTCATGATCTGCTTCTGAAGAAAAGCTGATTTGTGGGAGTTTCTAACTGAGCTAAGATTGCCACTCCCCTTCAACAACAACAATCAGCCTACTAATCCAAGAATTTCCTGCTGGATTACATAACACTACTGCTCCCTCTCATTTTCACTCACAACATACTAACCCAGGTCACAAGCAAGTGACTGGCTTTGAGGTTAAGTCAAGTTTCGAAGGCCATTTAAAAAAAAAAAGTAGCCAGAGATCTGAGCACAAGTCAACAAAACAGTAAGGTTAAAGTTTTGAAAAAGCCAGGGCCAAATATTTGTGAGGAAAATGAAGCAAAATGATGGTTTTGTCTAGGTGAAATCATTGTTAAAGTTATTGATCACCAAGGGCAACCTAAAGGGGAAAAAAGGCACTAAAGGAGTCAGTGGGGAGGGAGAGACAACCAACCCCACATTCTTTTCTTTAGTGCCATTGAAAGATTGACAATATGACAGACTTCAAAGATGAGAACTCTGCCCTCAGTTATCTCATAGAGTGGTAAGGAGATAAGACATCAACACATGTAGTTACAAGACAAATATTTGGTGATTATCAGGAAGCAGTAACTTTTTGGTGTAGTTGGTATGCCCTGGGAAGCTAGTGGATGACAGATTTCCTTTGCCCTACCAACCCCAATAGCTTAGCCTTCTATGTGAACCAGTACGGTTTGCTCTCCAGGGAGAGGCCTCTCTTGGCAGCCCTATTGCCCTCTGCTCCTATTATGTC